AAAAAAAAAAAGATATGTCCACATCCTAATACCCAGAACCTGTGAATAAGACCTTATTTGGAAAAAGGATATTTGCAGATATAACTAAAGATCTTGAGATCATACTGGATTATCCAGGTGAGCCCTAAATCTAGTGACAGGTATTCTTATAAGAGATGCCCAGAGGAGAGACACAGGGAGAAGAGGAGGTAGTCATGTGAAGGCAGAGGCAGAGATTGGGGTCATTCTGCCACAAGCCAAGGGATGTCAGAAGCCACTGGAGAAGGCAAGGAAGGATTCTCTCCCACAGCGTTTGGAGAAGTGTGGCACTGCAGACACCTTGATTTTGTACTTCTGGTCTTTAGGACTGTGAGAATAAATTTCTTTTGGTTTATGCCACCAGTGTGTGGTAATTTGTTACAGCAGCTCTAGAAAACTAAACAGCACCCCCAATTCAACTCAGCAGCCTTCCCCAAAGCTGCTCCTCATCAGATGAATGAATCAGCCATCTGGGGGTCCAAGCCAGAAACTGGCATGATTCTTGCCTCCAAATTCTTTGAAGACTCCCACCACCATTAGGACAGGTTCTGCTGCCTTAGCAGGGTGTACAGAGCCCCTGGGTCCACCATGGTCACTTTTGCCTTCTCCTCACAACATTCTACACCTGCAATCCCTAAATGAGCATGTTCCCTGGTGTCTGGGCCTTGACAAAGGGTACCTGAGTCCTTCCTGTCTCCAAACCAATTTCTCCATCTCCTTCAGGATACAGTGCAAGCATGGTGCCCCTGAGAAGGCTTCCTAACCCTCCTCCAACCCTATACACGTACACTCTCTTCAGCTCAGCTTGCATCTTTCTCTCACAATGTAGGGCAACCATGAAAAGACAGAAAGCCCCTCTAGGACGGGAACCATGGCTTACTTATCCTTGTACTCCTAGTGCCCAAGACAAAAAAACACACACAATAAATGTTTGTTACATGAATAAATGCTTCTTGGTTCTGGCTGTCTTGAAATTGAGAGTCCATGTTCTTTGGGGATTTCATCTGGCTAGCCCAGGCAAATGCCCATTCACTTAGCAAACATTCACTAAGCATCGTCTCTATGTTTGACACAGCAAGTAACTGGGAGAGAAGGTGAGGTGTGGAACACAGTTGGAAGTCCAGAGGAGGGGCTGAAGACTCAGGCTCCACCCAGGCCTTCACAGAGGTGACTAGAAACAAGTCAGGTTATGAGGAGTGAGCAGGGGTTTAAGTGGAAGAAGAGTTTTTAAATGACTAATAATTTTCTATCTTTAGTTCGCAATCCTGTGCATAGCCAAATCCCACCCACCTGCAAGGACTGAGCAAGTACAAAGGTTTATACCCTAGGGGCAAAGCCTGGAAGGGCTCAGTGCTGAGTGGAATAGAACACTTTGTGAACAGTTACTGCAAGCCAAGTCCCAGGATGAGGCCTAGCTGTTGTTGGGCAATAGACGTCGGCTACCATTATAATCCCTCCCCATAGAAAATGCCTCTTTCAAGGTAGTCCTTATCCCAATCTCTAGAATGTGCTCCAGCCAGTCACCTATAAGAGACACTTATTTCTCTTTTCCTAAGATTCTTGTGCTTTACCTCTCCCTGACACCACAAGCTCTCTCCATTTCTTTTCCTAGAAGAACATGCCCACCTCATCCTTAAAACAAACCTATTCCCATCCTGAGACCCTTGATTAAGATACCTCTGGGAGCCTTAACTCTAAGAGGCTTCACACTTTGACAGGTGTGACAGGAAAGTAGTAGTCCAGCACGATTTCAGATTTCAGGAGGGACCTTGAAGTTCACCCAGTCCTAGGTATCCCTCTTTGGGTAGGAAGAGTCCTTTTTGACCGAGTTCTCTACCACTCCTACCCCCAAAGGCAGTTGTTCTACCTTTACCATCCACTAGCACTCTTAGATGTGAGATCTGCCCTCCCCCATCCCCCCCCCCCCCCACCCCGCCGTAACTCCATTGGAGCCAGTGGCTGGGAACCACTGATCCAATCAACATCCCTGAGTTTCAGGTGAGTCTATCAGGTTCCTGCCTCAAGGTCACTGCCACAAGGTCAGGAAGCATATGGTCTGGCTGGGTGGGGGCAGAGAGCCCACCAATGGGCTAGAAAGTGGAAGGACATTAACTCAGGAGCTGTATGGGATCAAAGTTTAGATTTCATTCTAAGAGCCATGGGAAACCCTTACAGAGTTTTAAGCAAAGGAGCCAACAAGATATGATGCACATTTTCTGGTTGTTTTGAGTAAAGTGGACCAAAGAGAAACAACAGTGAAAGGGAAAGCATCTTCCAGCTTTGTACACACAGTGTCCAGCAGTGCACTAACCTCAGAAGGTCCTAGTGATGCACACAACTGGCTGGGAATGGGAAAACATTTGCGCTGAGTGTGGTAACTAACTCCTGTGGCTTGCCAGTGGGAACAGTTCCTTCTCCAATTAGATTCAGCTGGCCTCTACCTCCAAGGATCTGCCAAAGGCCCAGTCACTGCAGGAAGGGCTGGGACTGGACAATCAGCTGACCTACTGGGGGCTCTGGCTGGAGGCACTGACCCAGACAGACACCCAGGGTACAACCCTAGCTCTTGGGAGGAAGCTGGTCACTGGAAGTAGGGAAGGAGAGCCAGGTAACCACAGAGAAAGCCACAGAGAATAAAAATCTGACTTTTCCCTCCCAGGTTCTTTTCCCTTCTGGGTGCTGGGCAACAAGGAAAGAAATGGCTTGTAAAGGTCACTTGGGGGTTGTGCAACCCCTGAGAGGCCCAGAGATGTCACATCTAGACTTCCTAAGGTCTCTGCTCACCAACTCAGATCTTCATTGCCCCCTCAAGAGTCCTTCAGATCCTGAAGCACTCTCCCTGGTTCCCCAGACCCACACTCGCTGGCCCCAAGGTCTCCCCACCCCAGCCTCTAGGCCCCAGACCTGGTTTCCTTGCCATAGAGAATGCGTTTCACCTCCCTCAAGTCTGCGGGTGGCAGGTGCTTCTCCAAGCACTGCTCCAGCGACTCCCATTCAGGCCCCTCCATGGCCGGAGTCTGCAAGCGCCTAAGTCCAGACTAAAACCGCCTACCCTTTGCCCCCAGAAAGAAGAGGAGGGGCCTACAACCAGGTTCGCGCAAGCGCTCTCCCCTCTACACCCTCATCTTGTGCCCCTGCAGGGCTCACATGAGGACACGCCTCCTCCTCGCGCCTCCACGGCGCGCAGCCAATCAGCGTTCCAGGGCGTCGCGGGTGGGACTGCCCCTTGCCCCTCGTACCTCCTCCCGCACGCGCCAGGACACGCCCATTCCACGGGCCGACCTCCCCAAGCCCTCGCGCCTCGTCAGCGTGCAGCTAGCTGTCGCTGCTTCCTCCCCTGCAGGACCGTTGTGTTGCCCTCTCACACTCTCTCGCTGTCCGGTTCCTACCCAGAGGTGTGGGGCGGGACCGAGAACCCGAGAGGCGATGAGGGAGGCCCGGCGCGGCCTCTCGGAGGCAAAGCGCGGTCTGAGGGAAATGCCTGGCAAGTCCTGTCGGACACTCGCGGGACCGGTTCCCACCGCAGCTGGTGGGCAGGGCTTCTCCCCGCCCGGAACTCGTTCTCCGGTCCGCTGAATGCAGACAGCAAGCCGGGCCGGCCCACCGCACGGGACTGTGGAGGAAGGTACGGGACGAGTTTCAGTGTCCCAAAGGCAGTGGCTGCACTCCCGTCTTCCAGTGTCTCGTATTTGTGAGGACTTCTAGCCCCCACGAGGAGCCAGGCTGGGAGCCACGGCCGCGCGCGCCCACCCGAGCTTCGGGGTCAGAGCCCCGGCAGCGCTCATAGCTTGAGCGAAGGGTCGAGCGATCCTGTGCGCTTTCCTGGCGTGAATACTGCAAAATGCTGGGTCCCTGGGCGGCGGCTCATCCGCGGGACCCTTGGGCCCCCCTGAGCTCTGCCGTGTGCACTGGTTGCGCCCGCAGGGGCACTTTTCCTGGGAGGGGGCACTTTTGCCTGAGAGGATAGGGGTGAGGCCCGTCTCACAGTTCCCGATCCGGAGAGTGCTACCCCTCAGGAGCCAAAGAAGGTCCACTTTTCAGCCCAAGTGAGAATTAGGACAGAGCAGCTCAACTCTGGTGGTGAAGCAAGTCGGCCCACTCGTGGTTAAGCAACTTGCAAACCTTGTGAACCTTGCAAACCTGAAAGTTATTCAGACATTCTGGCCTGCTGTTGCTTTATCTGTAAAATAGGAAAACACCTACCTTGCAGGGTTGTTTAAAAGTAAGATAAGATAAGCACAAAAGGAGCTAAAAGTAGGGGCTGTAGACCAAATGCTTTAGATATTTTATAGAAGTCGCTAACACACAAGTTGTGGCCATTGTTTTGATAAATGTTAACTGACACTTCCTAGTATCTGATGGAGCTCCCTTTTCAAGAATGCAGACTTTGGTTGAAGGTTTTTTTTTTTTGTATATAAGGCTCTGAGATAAGGACAATGCACAGAGAACAAGACTAGTACTTTTTCTTCATGGTTTAAGGTAGGGACAATTTTGTGAATACTGAGATAACAGCAGATTTAAATAATTTGTTGTGAAAAAGATAGAAAGTATGCTGTGGAGTTAAGAGGAAGGGGTGATTTCTGGCCTAGAAAGGGACATTGTTTAAGGCCGAATGGAAGAGACCTCATTACCGACTCAAAATGCCTCAGAAGAAACCTCACACACACCACTTCTCAGGCCTGTTCTTATCTTTGGTATGGTATTTCTTATTTTAGTTAGTGGCCTCACTGCCCACTCATTTTGCCAAGCCTTTGGGAGTCATCCCCAACTCCTCCATGTTCTTTCTTTCTCCCGCACAACCAAACATCAAATTCTGCTAAATTTATCTCCTAAATTTTGATAAAATCCTTCCCCCTCCCACCCCATGCCTATAATCATGTCAGCTTTTGCTTGACTTGTTGCTAGTCTTCTAACTTATCCTTCTACCTCTGATGTCTATCCCTAGTTGTCTTTCTAAAACTAATATCTTATCATCCTTTTTACCTTCACATTCAGTGTCTCCCTACCTGGAATGACATTTTATCAGAAGATAGAGTTTGTGAATTCCTGCTCACCCTGTAAGATGCAGCTCAAATATTGCCTCGTCTGTAGTGTCTTCTCCAGTTGCTCTAGGAAAGGTATAGGCTTTGCTAACCTTTTATGGATATCTCTATTAGAGCATTTATCAAAAACTATTGTGTGATTATTTCTGAGCTCTAAGCAGGAACTGGGTCTGATCTACTTTTGTGTCTACAGGGCTCTGGCACTCAATAAATGACTGGTGAAGGAATTAATTCTGATGGGATTAAGGACAGATTCATTAAGGTGGTGACATTTGAGCTGGACCTTGAAGCAGAAGTAGAAACTATTATTATTAGTTAAATTGCTTAATCCATCTTTCCCTATTGTTCAGTGACAGGTCATTCACACTAGGTCATTATAAACCAGGATTTCACAAATACAAAATGCTAACTTGAGAAGGATAAAAAAATATCATATTTAAATTTTTATATTTGCCTAATTTATTTTTCACTTTAAATAGTAAGATACTTCACTAGATCCTTCTGTGGTAATCATTAAAAAAGACTTTAAGCTCTGCCCTAGTTTCTTTCTGAAATACCTAGCCAAGTCCCAAAGGTTTTAACTACATGCAAGTGTACTAGAGTGAGGGACTCCTCCCTGTTTTGAAGACCATCTCTTTTTGTGGCAACATGGTGTGGTTTATGGATATATAAGCATTTGAGTTTATACAAACTTGAACAGGAAGAATGGAATATGCCACAACCTCAATATGGTGGTTATCTCTGGAGAAGGAGGTAGGGGAATGGGATAGAGGAATGGGCATTATCTGCTGATATATAATATTTAATTTTAAATTAAATATGTTTTAAAAAATATTTGAAGCAATGGGGCGCCTGGGTGGCGCAGTCGGTTAAGCGTCCGAC